CCCCAAAACCCCAAAACCCCAAAACCCCATCATTATGAATCAGGGTTGAATTCTGTTTATATCATTTTGTTTAAAGTCTTTTGTTACATTTGGAAATAATCTCCCCTAGTTCACTCATCATGATATTCACCAATTCCTCAGGGTTATCGAAATAAATGTGGTTATCAGATTCTGAGATTACATAAACTCTATGGCCTTCATTTCCAAGAGTTTTGCTGACCTTGGGCCCGTTCATGTTCATATCCAGCCAGTAGGAGTAGCAGTAGATAAAACATGTGCCGATGCCTCTGGCTTTGAAGCCATCAGGTGCGTCGATGGCTTCGATGAGAGGGTGTTTGGGGATGAAGTTCCTGGTGAACAATACATGGATAGCCTTCTCAGACTGGCAGGCTTTAGAGTCACTTGATAAAGGTGGATGTAAGATTGCCTGAAATTCCTCTCGAGATAGTCTCCCCATTCTTCACCTCATCCCTCTTTTTAAAAATCTACCTGATATTCTTTCAAGGATTCTTAATGGGGTAAATGGAGCAATAGTTATGAGAAATTTTGGTAATTTATTTTTGCAGTCTAAACATTCTTCTTTGACGGGAACTTAGAGTTTTATAAAATTCATCTAAACCTTTATCAATATCTTCAGGCACATAATCAACTCCTAATGATGATAAGAATATCAGTTTTTTGATATGTTCGCTAAACCTCAGAGCATATCTCCCCATTACGTATCCTCCGAAGCTGTGACAACAAATGCTGAATGAATCAAGCTGCATTTGTTCTCTCCATTTCTCAATGGACAAAACGAAGAAGTCTTCAGCTTCTTCAGAGGTTTTACACGTGAACTTAGGTCTGGAAGACCTTCCTAAACAATAAGTTAACTATTTACCAAATCCTAAAAGATCAATGCACACAACATGGAACTCCTCACTGAGAGCTTTCCATATTTTGAAGTAAAACATTGAGCAAGCTCCGAAGCCATGCACAAGAAGCACTGTTGGTTTCCCTGAAGCTTTGTCTCCAACCTCGTATGCCCATATCACCTACCAATTAAAAACAAATTTCTTTTTTTTCTTCCCTCAGATTTTCATCAGTACATTCTCGATGCTCACTCAAATAATCTCTCTTCCCAAACTTTATTTCTACAGGGTAACTTCTAAACTCATCAGTATCAACTTCAGACAATCCAACCTAAATTTCAAAATTCCAAAAAGTACAATAACATCTTCCTCTGCTTATGCCTTCTCAAGGCTAATGCCTTTCCACCAACTACAATACATCACTCCTTAAAATACCTGGTTTGTTCCATGATGTATGATTTTCCCTTCAATAAACTGGTTCTAATAAGGGGTTTTGGGGTTTTGGGGTTTTGGGG